TTATTTTCCTTCCCAGATTTACTTTCCCAGAAAGCACTCTCATCTTCACTTCCCCGTCACCTCCATTTGACAGACTCCTGAAACGCTTTGCTCCAAGCAATATATCCTGCCCACAACACAACAGTCCTGGCATCGCCCCTTGCAACCCTACGTCTGAGTTCATGCATGGTCTCTGTTGAACACTGGCTCCTGGCATGCTCAAAGAAGCAGCATATGCTAGTTCGTAAAACAAAACCGTAGCACTAAATAACCTCCAAGGCCTCCTCTGCCACTTCTGTCATTATTACTCGCAACCTCCATTATTAGGGCGTGCTTTAAGACCAATGCCTCAAATACTGCTAAATACAGCACTTGGTGGGGGGTCAAATTAAGGATATATTTCACTGTTGCCAAGGCAAAATACAGGTGCTCTGAATGAAAAGCAGCATGTGGATTTGGAACTGCAGCCACTAACTGTTTATAGCCCACTTACACGAGTCGTGGCCTCTTTTCCAATGCTACCAAGCCCTTCTCTGCAAGGTGATGAAGCTGTCCAGGGTCCCGCCTGCTCCTCCATCCCCTCCTGCTCCTCCTGCCTCCAAACCCAGGGATGGTGCAACCTGTGTTCATGCCTTGTGGCTCATCATGAAGCTTTTCTGTCTTGGAATAGATTATTTCAGGATCATCTGATCCTGAAATACGATAGAATACAGACATATTACAGCCAAAGCACAGAAAATAAACACAAACTCACACAGTTTCTAACAGCATTTGGCAGGATTTCCCTTAAAAGCAGGCACTTGCTCAGGCCACATGCACACCTGTACTAGGGCAGAAGGCTGATCTGAAGATAGCTGCCTTTCGTGGGACCTCACAAGGATACGCTGCCAGGAAAACCTGGATGAACAGCCGTGTGGCTCAGGGCATATACACTGCTAGTGTTTCTGAAGCAAATCTAACCTACAGTCAGATGTACTCACACCCTGCACAGACCAGAGTGTGGTAGGCATTTACTGACTGCAGGCAAACCAGCTTGTAATCTTACCATTGCAATGGTGAATGCTGCTTTTTAAATGGTTTTTTCTTCATGAAGCATTACTCTTGGGAGTATTCATTTAGGTGCTGAGAGGCTTTTAGCAGCTACTCATCTCCTTTATTTTCTCAGGTATACTTACTTCCTCTTCCATTTCTCAGGACTTTGGTAAACATGCCTCTCCTTTTTTTCCTCAGTTTAAATTGAATGGATGCTGAGCTAAACTTGGGATTCCTAGTGGCAAAAGATGCCTATTCTCAAGAGAAAAGTGAAGAAAGATAAAACTTAATGGCTTTGAGTAAGGATTATATGAAAGGAGAGGCTGTAATCTTTTTGTTACAGCATCAGAGACAGCGTGGTAGAAAATATTTTTTGAAAGTTGGCATGTTTTGGATCGATTTTTGGTTGGTTTTTTTGTTTGTTTTTTTTTTTTTCCCCCCCAGTATTTTCTCTTCTATTTAAAGTACGACACAGACCAACCAAATCACACTTCACTCAGGTGTGCATGTAGGTCACAGTTTGCTTGCCCTCTGACCATAGTTTACCAAACCATTTTTATATCTGCATTATTCATTTCTGTTAAACAGCTCCAGCTTTTTATGCACAATCCATCCCTGGCTCTTCTCTCATCAGTTACATCCACATCATCGTAACGTGTGCCTTAAAGATGCCAGAATTTCTGTCTAAAAGTGGTTTATAAGAAGACCTATTTCTAGCATTAACTTTTATTTTTTCCTCCTGCAAGACTGCCTTGGGTACCTACCAAAGAAAAAAAATAATGCACAGGAAATGTTTG